TACCCAGCAATGGAAAGTGTCCTTTCCTACGTGAGTAACCTATATAACTTGGGCAAACGGTTTGTTTTATGGGCGTTTTGGTGGCAACACTGCCTTCTGGTTTTGGAGGGGGTAAAGATTGAGGATTCTAAACAGACAGGGTAGATAAGGGAACGAGTGCAATCGGAGCTAATGGGTAAACGGAGCGATCTTAAGCCGCAATTATACATTTTTCAGACAGATTGGGATATTAAGAGGGCGATTATGGGGTTCTTCATGAAGTGGTTGGGTGGGCAACAGACTGGATGGATGAATCGAATTGAGTGGAAAAGGGATCACACAACTGCGACAGAACAAGGAAGTCTGAAAGGTTAAAGACTTGTCTTCAATGACTGGACCCATATTGAGCCATCTTTCTCATTAAGGCCCCCGTCTGATTTCTCGGACCCGTTCCCTTCCCCCCTACCCTGATGGACGCTCTTACCTAACCAAGCTGCAAGATTGCAACAAGATATTAACAAAAGTGCAGCAAGATTGGATTCGACGAAATTGAGATGGGCTCTGCGGTGCCCCCCGGGCAATGCTTGTCAAATACTCTCCTGTCCTTCCAAATTCATCTTCTTCCCCCAAGCGCAGGCTTCCTAGAGGAGGAAGCCTCTCACGAGCTCATCACCGCCTACTCAGTGAAAACCCTAGCAATCAGGGCAATCAATGCTGGGAGGTTGAAACTTTACAAAAGGATGTTTCGATGAAGGTTCGGACGGTTGATATACAATGGGATGTAGGACCCAGTTTCCAGCAGGTGCGGCTCCCCACAATAGACTTGAACATTCAAGATGACCACTATGGGGGGTGCTCGTATCACCCTCCCTAGCGGCAAGACTGGTTTTCAAAAAAGACAAACGAAAAAAAACGTTGCAATTGGTAAGGAGAGTGGCCAATCCCCCTCGGCAAGCCAAGCAGAAAAACCTTGCACTTACATAACCTATCAATCTGTGCAAATATCATTGATTTCAAAATTTTCATAGGAAAAAACTGGGGATTGTAAAGAAGATTAGTTAAAATTGATAAAGGTAGTGGGGTTTATAGACCGTGTGTATAGTGTTGCAAAGGTACATCTTCGGGGAAGAAGAGTGCAAGTGTGTAGGGGATAATTGTATGACCAAAAAAAGAAGGTAGATTGAAGAGAATGAAAGTGTTGTAGAGGTAGTGGAATGAGAGTGTTGATCCACCAGACCTTCCTCGAACCCCAATTTTTTTGGAGAGGCGCAGTCGTGATTCTCAAGCTGGCTGGGGCAATGTACTAGTGGTCTAAGAAAACACTAATGAAACAAAATGAAAAGCGATACAGATAGTTAAAGCACTTTACAGGGGGCTAGATCAATTATGAAGTGTTGTGTGTCATGGCTAGAGCAGCAAAAACTTAGGCTTGGTTGCTGGTCTGCGGTCATGTAAAATGAGACAGTGGTTCTGTTTTCTTAGCAATTTGATGACTATAAGTGTTTTTTTTCATAACACACTGTACCCGATTTCCAGGTTGTAAAGCTACCCACCAACAGAAAGAAGTCATCACCCAGCAAGACCTGAATTTGGGGATAACTGTCATTTCGTCAAAATTGACATTTTTAATTTTTTTGAACGAAATTGAAATCAAGTTATTTGGCTGAAAACTAGTTCAAATTTATTATTTTTTAGGGTCCTGCGTTCTTGAAAGATTGGATCTCTGGATGTATGTGGGCTCCGCTTAAGACTAGATACATACAGGGTTTTCGGCATTTTAGACCACCACTACCCCCGAACCTCTTTTTGTCGACCTTGATTTCACTTGCGCGCCAAGTTTTGCCGAGCGTGGCATTTTCGTGGAACCTTTTTTTTTTTCTGGTACCATATGAAAACGATATCAATGCGGCAATAAGCTTCACCAACGAAGAAGGAGAGGGAGGAAACAAAGCTCTGTCTGTGATAGCATGCATATACATTCGTTGAGGTAGTAGTGTGAGTATGCCGTCAGCGTCGGCGTTTCAGAGTGCCATCAGATCCGCAAGAGAGAGAGAGAATGAGAAAAAAAAAATGAAAAAAACACCGCTTTGGTCATGAAAGCGGCCACCAAGACAAACAAAGAAAACAAGGCGGAAAAAAAAAAACAAAAAACAAAAAAAAAACATTTCCATTTCACCGTAATAGTGGACATATTCATTCTGGATAGTACGAGTGTGAGTATGACCTTGGTAAGGGACTTCCCTGACATGATTGTTTTCCACACAATTTTTTTTATTTTTTTTTCTTGCACGTTGGACAAGCGGGCCGAGAAGACCCAAATCCTTTCTTTTTTTCATTATCGTGTACTCGGCCTCTGACCCTGTGTCAGACCCCGGAAATTTTCGGATGAGGTCCTTTTCCCAAATGGGCCTACGACTTGGAAAGTTAGTGGCGTTTAAGAATAGCAGACCCTCATACCTAGCAAATTTTGACGAGTTTTAGACCAAAAACTCGGTTTTAATTTCGTTCAAAAAATAAAAACTGTCCATTTTGGCGAAATGGCAGTTGGATAATCATACCATGCCCAAAACTATGGTCTTGCAAAAAGTCGTTTTTGCTTGCAGATAACAAAAAACAATTGAGATTCACAAAATGAAATGTCGTTAGAAGCTGAAAAAATAATAAAAAATCAATGTCAAAAGTAAGGTTGTCGAGGCACGTGCGCAAGTGAGAGCTGACGCGATGATCACTTCCTCGCACCGTCATGACCACACCCTATTTGACATGCAAAAACAACGGCAAATAACTTTGTAAGGGTATTTGTCACGACAACGTTAACCGGAACCTTTCGCGAACGCCTACAACTGGATAAGGCCACGCGAGGCACAACTTAACTCCACCTTCGGGAGTTGTCACCATCCCTTAGGTGGGTGTATTCCCACGGAGCTATCAGACCACGTAAGGAAGTTTTTCGTATGCAATCGCAGATGTGGTCCAACCGAGGACGTTTTCTGTTTGTTGTAGCATAGGGGGTACATGCGATTAATGTTCGAATCTGACTCGTGCGTGAATCGTCGCTCGAAGCGCCAGTCTCCTAAACGTGATCCTACGCCGGTCTACTAAGATAGTCAATCTAACCATGCGATAGACTTTACAAAAACCCAAGCTTCATACGTAAAACGCGCCTAGTCCCTTATTTACTTTCGACCCATATCCTTTTGACGGTCGAATAAGCAAGAAACGCTAGTGAGTCTCTTAATAAATAGAGCAGCGGCGCCAAAATTACCATATGGACTAGTCATGGGAGAATACGCGAGCAATAGCAATGATGATGTACTATGTGGTACCCACAACCACGCAGTCCTCAAGGATTTTAAAGGTCGCTCTCGACACTCAAGTGTCGACTGCCACGCCGCTTAAGAGAGTGATCTCTTGACGCTAGACAATCGTGGGTGCGATTGCGAGTCCTACACTTTCTGCACACTGCTGAAAACAACGGTAGGAGGGCTTCGACCGCTTTGAGGCGGCGAAACGCCCCAGACTTAAAGGAAGAGACACCATCTTTGGAGACCTTGAAACATATCAAGGACTTTGCTTTCACTGTAGGTTTTGTAGAGGGTCATGATACGGGCCCCTTCTGTCTTTGCTTCGATTTTTGCTTATGCGTCATGTAGTACTTTTTTAGGCCCCTTGAGCCCGGGTCTACGTGTTGTTTGGGGTTGATTTTGGCTCGTCTTGACCTACCCAATGAAGTACCCCCTATCTAGGGTAATAAGCGTGGGTAGTATTGATACCGTAAGTACCGGCACCTGGAATGTTGCGCACGAACTGTTAGC